AGCTCTCCCTCCGAATCATCCCGACTTGGCTCAATCCTACAACAACAGCGGTCTGGTGTATTATAACATGCGCGAGTACTCAAAAGCACTTTCATATTACGAAAAGGCCCAAGAAATATGGAAGAAGTCACTTCCTCCAACACATCCACATATTGCTCTAGTAAACAGAAACATTGAATATGTGAAAAAGAAAATGTAATTTTTTTCTTGATCTTGAAAAGAGAAAATAAACTGGCCATTCTGAAGTTGAAGCCCGCCGAAGCGAGCAGTCGCACAAATTCGCGCACGCGCGACCAAGGATACCCTCCGTATTCCATTGGCTCGTACAGTGGACAAAGCCGGCAATGGTTAGGCAAACATACATTTATGTATGTATGGCTAGTACCGCCATAGTCAACGTCTTCCTAAAAAGACGATGACGAAATGGAAGCTGCTAGGGTATGGGTGTGGGTGTGGGTGGGGGTGGGGGTGGGGGTGGGGGTGGGGGTGGAGGTGGGTGTGGGTGTGGGTATGGATATCAATCGTGTGAACACTCACATCAACACCCACACCCGCACAATTCTTTCCGAGCTAGACCAACAGCAGGTCATGGCGATTGACAATCGGCTCCATTCACGAACATCGCATTCGTTCATTCTTGCCTTTGAAATTCGCAGAAGAATGTCTCAGCCAAGGCACGAGAGAAGCTTCAACACCTGATGAAGATCTCTGAAACAACACTTTGATATTCACGTGAACACTGGATCTCTACAAACTCATCCTCATCCCTCGCCCTCACACCTCTCATCCCCAATATATTCATCACCCGTTTATTGGATGTTGTACTTATTGCAACAAAAAAACAAGATATCTGTAAAAGATACAAACACCTTGATGATGAAAAATAATATATATAGCTGATGTAAACCAATCCAACTAATTTCAATCATTGATTTGAATAAGTTCGGTCCTTGTAGAATGAGCTCAAGAAGCTCTCAGGAGATCTGATATCAGGTTTTTTTTTCATTTTAAAGATATGTGCCTTATCAACACGTGTTTTGTTGTGTCATTTAAGAGTGACTATATCGTATTTATCTTCTGTCTTCCTACAAGAAGCACTTTGGTCGTGAATCAAGCATGTGTCATAGATATTTGTGCAAATTTTAGCATTATTATCATATTATATCTATATATAAGGCTTTTACTTCAGACGAATGGAAAGAAAGAAGATGTGTATATGGCAAACAACAATACTGCTTCAAATAATTTTACTACTGAAGACTATTCAACACCAAGTGCACCAGTAGGGATAGTTCTAAAAGATTCCACTTCGACCTCGAATAAATCTGTGTTACTGCCGAACAACGATCTAGAAATGAAAACTTATAATATTTTTCTACTCCAGTTGCACCGGATATTGATGATCTCCCACCAAACTATTTTGATATATTAATTGTCCCTAATGGAGCTATTTTATACCCCAATGATGTTACTCCATACACAGAATCATCGAAAGCAGAAATAAAACGTAATGCAAAAGGTGTTCTTTCATTCGATCAACTTGTTGACAAAAAATCCTGATCAATTGTGGCTTTATTTCATGACATATCTCAATGAAAAACCACAATTAAAAGTCAGCATTCATGGTTATTATACAGAAGTATTTTTACTTTCAACAAATGCGTCAGAATAAATATTTCACTAAATCTTGATATTTTTCTCCTACTGACCCTAGAGAATATACTGAGTTAAGGGTACCCAAAAAAGTACCCTGATACCAGTATGTCACAGGAACTTTTGGGTACCAAAGTACTTGCAGGTACTTACAGGTACCTAAGTGGTACTATGGCAAGTACCCTGCTGGAGAATGCACAGTAATTGGGTACCTAAAGGTACTGATCAAGTACTGAATTGAGTACCATTGTATAGTATTTCTAAGTACCCTGTTACCAAATTTTCAGTATGTTCAGGATCGAACCTGATCTTTGACTTTTTAAAATTTTTTCTTTTTCTTGAGATAATTTACTAGATTTTTTTTTACTTTATTCAATTTAATTTTTTCAATTCTACAAACTTAGCAGGAACAATGTCGGGATCCGACTCAACTTGAGTTGGTCGTAGACCACTTCAGGGTAGTCCGATCTTAATTTACAACCAAGCTCGGCATTTCCTCGACTAAGAAATAGTCAAGAAATAATTTAGAAAAAACTAGTATGAAAATTGATTATTTTCTTATGATTTATCGAGTTATTTATATAGAGCCGTACGTAAAAAAGAAAACGGTGAATGAATAGTCGCCATACAGAACGCGAAAAATTTAGGATACCCTGTCGAGATTTCCTCAGTAAAGTTACAGACTTGTGTATCCATGCAGGTACTTATTCAGTAAATGTACTTTTACGGGTACTCCAAACAGTACATACATCAGTAAAATTACTGAGAATTTTCAAAGTACACATACTGGGTACCCTGCTAGAGCTTTCTCAGTACATGGGTACCCTGAACTCAGTACTTTCTCTAGGGTGAGTACTCATAAAATATGACATAGGGTGATTCCAGCTGAAAATTCTCAAAGCAAGAATAAGAATATAGAATTAAGAAGAAGGAGAAATATATATCGAAATTTGGTGTAATTTATTTTGTTGTATGTATGTTATCATAATGTTTGCTGTATGTATCTTTTGTGTTTGTAGACTTATACGGAAACGGAAAGTTATCAAGACTCTGATGGTAATTGGCAAACTCGTAGTGTAACGAAGTCTCGGGATGTAACTGAATTTGATTTTTCCATTGATCTATCACCTTATATTTGTGAACAATGGTGGCGTGTTGCTGTTATTCCATCGGCAGAGGCAAGAAGAGGTGGTGAAACCGTTACATTCAGAGATGCTCTTGAACAATATACACTTTCTAACAAGAAAATCAAAGAAATAGTATTGAAAAAGCTATGTCATGGCTGGAATTTAGAAGAGTTGAAGAAAAAACTTATTGCATTAGTTCGTTCAACTGGCTATGAAAATAGTATTAATGTCGTAAGTAGAAAAGTAATATTTAAATCGTAATGAAACTTGTTTTCCATTTATTTTCTAGACTTATAATAGAATCGATTATAAGATTGCTGCTCGTTCATCTTCAACATTGAGCCATTTTGCTAATTCGACTCTAGTTCGAGTTTTGTGTTACATTTCCTGCCTATGCATTATTTTTGGTCCTATTTATTGTTGTTTACGTACCATAGGTTCAACGCGAGATAATATTGTCGCCGAATATATGATGATGAAGTCTGATGATATTTTTCTTCAATTTAACGCTCAAATGATTGTTAATTCAGTGATTCAGCGTTCATATAATTCGTATATAGCACATTTTACCTAATTATCGTATTATTCTTTTTATTGGTTTAATGATTTGAGTGAAGGAAATGATTTTTAAAATACATTGGAAAATATAAATAAGGAGATTTATTTTCCATAGTTAGTTTGATTTTACCTAAAATCAATGGAAATAACAAACGAGAGAAATAAGTTTCTTATTCGATGAAACTTTATCCAATTTTTTCTTCAAATAAATGATAGAATTGACATTAATCAAGGTAAGGTGTGGAGTGTGGGTGAGTGTGGGTGTGGGGCGGGTGTGGATGTGGGCGTAGGTGTGTGGGTGTGGATGTAGAAAGAAAAACATCCAATACTCCACACCCACACCCACACTCACACCCTCATCAGTGACTGTATAAGTTCACTTTTTAATGGCTTATATCTTGATATTCTGCATTTTGAACAGTTTGATTGACTTTCTATATGATAAAAGGCAGCCAATTATTTTTCTTTGGAACTCAACAACACTTGGGTATGGGTCTAGGTGTGGGTGTGAATGAACAGAAAGGAAGGACACACCAACACCGGCCCACCCACACTCCACACCCCACCCCCACACCCATCCACACCCATACCCACACCCACACCCACACCCACACCCACACTCCACACCCACACCCACACCCACATCCACACCCACACCCACACCTTGTGGTCTAACAACTCTTTCAGTAGGATTAGACGTCGTCGTACTCGTAGAAGATTCTTGTTCTACTCTTTTAATCAACTTCATAGTCAATACAAACAACAATAGCCACGTCATAATCATAATGATTGTCGAACATAACAATACTGCCATAGTCAATCCAGCAACGGAAGCTTCGCGGCTAATGAGAATTGCAGTAGTAATTATTAATGCAAAGAGTGGAACAACAGTTAATCAAACAACCGAATACACACGTAAACGCCATGTGCAGTTATTTCGAGATGGAGTTGTACATTAATATGATATCAATCGTATGAGCAAATGCACGATCCAAGTGTAGATTTGAAAAAGTCCAGTGCATATTCTGAGATATTCAAGAATTAAAAGAGTCGAGATGTCTTTCTTGAACCATTTAAAGCAAGTGACGGTACCTAAAGACTCATGAATCAAAATGTCAGATGAGTTATAGAAGAAATGACTATGATTGCCAGATGTAGAATAACAATCCATATCACCATCATCTGGGCATTTTTGATTTGTAGGAAGGTAGATGACATTTAAAATTACACCATCGACGAAAACGATAACTGTCACTCCTATTACAACACCAGTCATGATACAGAGAATTATATAAGATAGTAATCTATATGAACTCTTTGTTTTAAGTATAGAAATTCTTCCAAACAAGTCTATACTATCCAATTGATCTTCGTTGTTTGAAGATATGTACTGAATACCGAACATTTGTTGAACTAACGCATATAGTAACTTGGAGTATCCACAACATAGTAAAAAGCTTACAACCATTATAGAAAGTGCAACAGAACCAAAAGAAATTGCGTTATTTATCCAAAGATTGGCTTTGTAAGTCCATATCAGTTTTTGCTGTGCCTTGAAGACAAAGATTTAGAAGTTTATCTGAAATATTGAATAAAATTGTCAATAAAACTCAAGTTAACTTCGTGCTTGAGCGAGTCAGTAGTGTCGAACCATAAGTAGGCATGCAGCGAACCCTTACACCCTTAAGTTCCTTACAGATCTCACTATAAGTGAACAAATTGAGGAATGAAAGATCGATAAGTAAAATTATCATGAAGAGCAGGTAAAGAATTATCCTTAGTCAACAAAGATGTGCAAATACAGTTGAAAAGTTTATCAAGCATCTTCTATTTATTGTCTAATATGTTCTTAATCATCAGTGTGTATTGACTTGTGGAGATCTATATCGGCCAGTGCATGCTGTTTCACATTAATTCTAGAGTTTCTAAGAGTATTTATTTGGATATACCGATACATTGGACCGATACCAAGTCCGAAGTTTCCCAAGTTCGTATACGGTCGTAAACGGCCTTACACGATTCTTTTATGATTGTAATAATGAGCCATTTAAGTCAACCTATTCTGCTGTAAACGGTCGTATACGACCATGCTTATTCAACCTGGACACTTATTAAGAGAGAGAAAGGAGTACATGAAACAGTACAACACTGACTCTGTTTAGGTACTTTGAATTCCACATACTTAATATCATTCAGAAGATGAATGATGTGTTGGTCATGTTTTGATAGCTCTATAGTCAGTGTACGGCCCTCGATCACCAGTAATCGTATAGCGGGTTCGATTCTCAAACGAAGCACATCATTTATTCTTCTCAATGATATTGAATCCTCGAAAGTCAAACGAGGTCAACGAAATCAGTATTGTGCTGTATCAAAACATACCGATAGATATCACTGAACAGGAACACATCAGACATGACGAGAAATGGAAGATACAACTGTTATCTGTATTTGCGCAGTGCTGTTAGTAAAAATCTTTTGCTAAAATAGAAAACGAAAGTCGTAGATGTTTCTTGTTTCTCTTATTTTTCTTTGAGCTTGAAGGACACTGTAGATGTTTATCTCTTGCGAATAAAAATAGAAAACGAACCGGTATACATTGGGTGTGGGTGTCGGTGAGTGTGGAGTGTGGGTGAGGGTGTGGGTGTAGGTGTGAGTGTAGGTATGAGTGAAGATCAGATCCACACCCACACGAACAACCACACCCACACCCACACCCACACCCACACTCACACCCACCCACACCCACACTCACACCCACCCACACCCACACCCACACCTACACGCCACACTCACACCTTCAACAAAAATTAGATTCTTTTTCCGAATATGAAACATTCGTTAATGGATATAAGTATGAAAACATATTGTTTACATAATCTGAAAAGAATAAAGAAATAAAACTTAAGGCAAGGAGTAACATGAATCGAATTGATAAATAAAACACAAGATATAATTGTGCGCAATTATCATGGATTAAATATAATTAGGTAGATTCACAGAAATGAAACTACAGAGTGTCCCAAAAGTCCGCAGGAAAAGTTAATTCAAATATCTCTTATACAACTCAAGCAATTTAATTGATTTTTTTGTATAATGTATTAGTATATTCTTTAAAGTTTTATTTCACATAATTTAGTTTGTAAAAAATGTTCAAAATGATTACCAACAAGTAAACTACATAAACCCATCGCTTTCGAAATCTTTAAAAAAATATTGCAGGAAGTTTACTTTCGAATTGTCGGTTTTTATTCTGAATTCGACCAAATATCTTATGCACACAGGTCTTTACTTTATATTTATCGATAAACCATTCAAATGAAAAGAGATTTTGTCTGAAAAAAAGAGCTCTTCTGATTGTGGATATTTTATAACTTGCGTAATAATTTCAACTCCATCTTATGAATCTTTTCTATGAAGTTATAGAAGAAATGACACCCTGTGTAGATTCATTAGATGATATTCAGTGAGAATTCGTCCTGCTATTGTTCATGGAATGAAGCAGGCTGTTGCAATAATCCGAACACTCGATAGTGGCACATTTTCACAATTATTATAAACTTTGCCGATTTTCTCTTCTGTAATTTTTGAAGGTCTTTCAAATTCTTACCTATTTTCTACTATGTTCTCATTTCGCAAAAGTGTCAATAGTACAGTCTATGTGTGGCATTTTATGCCAAACTCGACTTGTATTTTTCCTTTCACAATGATGGATAACTGAAATTTGGTCAATAATAGAACTTTTTTAATTCTAATAGTTATAGGCATAGACATTTATCTCAAAATATACGAAACAAAACTTTAAAGAACATACTAACATATTATTAAAAAAATCAATTAAATTGCTTGAGCTGTATAAGAGATATTTGAATGAACTTTTTCTGCGAACTTTTGGAACACTCTGTAAAAAGAAAAACTTCACACTCAATAAATCAATACTTGTCAAGTTTTTTATCAAAAAGGTGAACAATACATACTAAGCAATTAAATAGAATACACACTGGCTCCCTTAAAAGACTGTACCAAGAGCTAACTATACTCAGAACTATTTAGGATTATGTGCAAAATTTCAAACTTCTAAGTTTATTATTTCTTTTGTACCGATGAGACAGATTACATGGTCGTGTTTTGTGTAATAACACTCTAAAAAATGCCATGTGTCTTACAAGACACTTCAAGCGTCTATTTTGCATTAATTTTGCTTGAGCGTCTAAAATCGGTTATCCGTTGACACGTGGCGCTTCTTATTGAGACAGGTGATGCGTCTTTTTTTAGACATATAGTGTGTCTTAGTAAGACGCGTCACGTGTCAACGGATAACCGATTTTAGACGCTCAAGCAAAATTAATGCAAAATAGACACTTGAACTGTCTTATCTAAGTGTCTTAATTTTTTAGAGTGAAGTTTCAATCGTTTAATAAGTTGTGTTAGAAAAACAAACTACATGATCAGATGCAGCATCCAAAGCTCTGCATTTTATATCAGTTGCACATTTTGCTTTCAAAACAAACAAATTTTTTACCAACTAGATTGCAGCTGTACAATAACTATTCTTTTTACTATCGAATATGTTTTCGTAAATAAAAACAAAATATGTGGCAAGATGCAGCATGAAAAGCTGTACAATCTACGTGAAACAAGAACAAAGAAATTTCCCATAGGTGTTATTTTTTAGCAGCATCGAAATTTGATGACTCAAAATTTTGTCTATTTTCAGAGCAAAATGTGCAACCATAAAACAAAACCGCCCTATGGGAATTGTAAGAAATGATGATCTACAACAAAGTCTGAAATTTTTCACATAATTCTAAAGATCTCTGGGCATTATAGCGATATAGTTGGTCCTTGGTGAAAGCATTTAAGAGAGGCAGGTGAAAAAACTTTCGTAGTGCCCTACCATTTAGTCAATTATTCTAGACATTGGAATAATAACTTGAATAGTCGAAATGAAATTCGAACAGAAATTAAACTGATCTTGTTTTTTGTATAGTCGGTTTGATAAAAGTTTGATGTGACCTAACAAGATTCAATTCGTCTTTTGATATCCTTCTGTATAACATACTCATAGAAGTTGCAATTAATCTACACGAATATCAACTCTACTATGACATTAAGAAGTCTTAGAGTACCACATATTCCTGATTAGGATGATCGTTAATTAAGAAATCGACATTAGAAATAATTCTCCCATGCCAAATTATTATAGATTATCATTTTTTTTTTGTGTTCATATCGTTCTTCAGCTTGCAATAGCCTTCATAATGCAAAATAAAACATTATTATTTCACTTAATTTCAATACAAATATCAAGGTATTAACATTTTTGCAATAATAAAACTTATAAGACGTGTATCAATACTATATAAAAACGAAGATATTTATGCTTGATTCTTTATTTTTGGTGAAGATTCTTTATGTTTCAACAAGCATTAAAAAACAACAAGGTTGAATTTAGTGATACTTCCTATTCTATTATTATCTTCATTGTTCTATCTTTTAGCTTTTCTTATCGATTACACTTTTATTAGGTGTAGTCGTCATACTCATACCTACTCTTGTCATTGTCACAAAACGTTCTAAACATAATCATGAAGACGGGATATCTTCAGTAACAACACGAAATGCCGATGATTATCAGTCAAATAGTGACTATTATCAATCATTAACGGATGTTCATGACTTTTCTCAAACAGATAATCTTCGTTTGGATCGTCTTTCATCTCCTCGATTTCATCCAATCAATGGAAAAAGTATTATCTATTTAAGAAGACAATATCATATGCCTGATTTACGTGGATCAACAACAACTTTACATTGGCTTGATTTAGAAACAAACAAAAATATTCAATTAACACAACCTATTTGGGGAAAACATGATAGCCAAGTAAGTATAGAATCATTTCATATGTATTGATATTAATGTTTATCTTTAGTTCTATTGGATAAATTCTAACGCTATTCTTTTTTTATCTAATCGAGCTTCATCAGGTCTTAATCAAATATTTCAACTTACACTTCCTGATAACTTACTAGAAACAACTAATACATTCATTGAACCAATTCAAATAACAAATTATTCATTGAGTATTGGTAATCTTTTAGTAAATAGACAAGCAACACGTCTTGCATTTAGTTGTCAAGTTTATGCAAATTTATCAATTGAAGAAACATTTGCTCGACAAATAGCAGAAAAGAATAGTGGTCGTACATTTTATCAATTTGATAAATTATTTATTCGACATTGGGATGAATATATGACAGGTCTACGTCATCATCCATTTCTTGTTTCAATCGAAAGACAATCAAATGGAATATTTAAATTTTCATCTGAACCCGTGGATGTACTTTTTAATATAGATAGTGATTCACCAACAAAACCTTTTGGTGATGGTAAAACACAATGGTCATTTAGTGCAAATGGAAATTCATTTGCATATACTCGTCAATATGATGAAACAAGTGCTGTTGCTTGGACAACTAATCTTGATATTTATACAATAGATTTGAGTATACCTGGACAAGCGAGTGTATGTATTACATGTGAGAACTTGGCAACTGATACTGATCCATCTTATTCACCAACAGATAATAATATTTTGATTTATCGATCACAATCAAAACCAGGATATGAATCTGACCAATATAAAATAAAGCTCTACAATGGTTAGTTATATTATTACTGTTTTTTTGTCCTAGTTCGAAAGTTGTTTTATTTATAGGATCGAATACAAAGCAAACACTCCTTGATAATTGGGATCGAAGCATTCAAGTTGTGACATGGTCTCCGGATGGTCAATCACTTTTTCTTGAACTTCCTGAAGAAGCACGAAATGTCATTTATCATTTATCTAACAATCAACCCCTTATACGTCTAATCAGTAAAGGTACATCGCGTGACATCAATGTTCATCCAATGAATAATCAAGAGTTTATTTTTACTCATCAAAGTTTTGTTGAACCAATCAATATTTATTTCTATTCATCGGATGGATCAATGCGATCTCTTACTGATCATAACAAAGCTCTATTAGCTAAAGTGAGACTGAGTCCAGCAGTTGAAGCATTTTCATTTGCAGGTGCTCGAGGTGATCAAGTTTGGGGATGGCATATGCCACCATCAAATGGAACTGGAAAACGAGCTCCCCTCGCATTTCTTATCCACGGAGGCCCACAAAGTAGTTGGGATGAAGCATGGGGTTTTGGATGGAATTTTCAAACATATGCTTCACAAGGTTATGCTGTTATTGGTATCAATTTTCATGGTTCTGATTCATATGGACAGAATTTTACAGATAGTATTATAAGTGAATATGGTTCATTACCTTACGAAGATCTTCAATTAGGCCTTACTTATGCACTGAACAAATATCCTTATATTGATTCAGATCGAGCCGTAGCATTAGGTGCTAGTTACGGTGGATATATGATCTATTGGATAGCTGGACAACCAGAAATGAGTCGTCGTTTCAAAACTCTCATTCCCCATAATGGAATATTTGATACAAGATTTATGGGCTATTCGACCGAAGAATTATTTTTTACTGAACATGATGCAGGTGGTTATACTCCATGGGAAAATCCTGATGCTTATGAACGTTATAATCCATTGAATCATGTTGCAAATTGGACTCAGCCAATGCTAATTATTCTTGGTGCTCATGATTATCGTGTACCAGATACACAAGGAATAGGTGCTTTTAATGCTTTACAACGTCGTGGTATCGAAAGTCGATTAGTTTATTTTCCAACGGAAAATCATTGGATACTTAATCCACTTCATTCACTTGCTTGGTACGAAGAAGTAGAAAGCTGGATGCGCAAATGGATAAATTAGAATAATCAGAAAGCATTTTAATACAATCGATTTAATGTTCGAAACATTTATTTCTTTCGACATTATATTTTATCCCATTTTGTTGTTGTAACAAATTTGATGTATTAAATAATAAATGATGATGGGAAGAGCATGAATATTGTTGATGGTAGACGGGCTTTTTCTCTTGTATCAGATCGATCAAGACGAATATTTGCATTGCATGCACACGGAAGAAATACTTCATTTCATTCTATATATATCTGCAATGAATTCGTAGTTATGAGACTTAAAGGTATGCGTATAAATATCAATAACTTTAGCAACGATTAGTCGACTGTTTTGAATAAGAATAGTAATTTAATCATTGGATTTGAAAAATGTCTGCTCGACTATTCAAAAATCTCTTTGAATATGAAAGTGCAAACTAATTCAATTGAAACAAGTCTAAGAGCCTGATACATCTCTGATGATCCAGTGATGTATACTGTTTGAACTTCAATAATTTGATATTTATTCATAATCATCCATGTCATCGATAACGGTTCAGTAGCGGCGTTATAACGCCACTATCGTGATGGCACTTTGATCCCTTTTAGCACTCCGCTATTTCCGCTATAACGCGATATCATGACAACAAAACAATATTACGCGCTATATTGGAGTATTTTTCAGTATTTCGATACTTAAATATATCACTCCTCTTAGTAGATCCTACTACCTATATTTATAGCCGTAATTGAAAACTACGTTTAACATAGAGATGATAGTTTTGAACTTTTATTCGATCATAATAGAACTTACAACTAATAACAACTATTATAAATGTTACATATTATTTAAAGACAAACAAGATTGGTACAGAAAAAAAGCATTTTTAAAAATACAAATGAAGTGCACAAAAATCCTTCCGAAGGTCTTATTTAATGAAACGTAATTCTGTTTATCAAGAACAAGGACCGGTGAAATTTGTCATTGCATATTAGTCCGAACGAACCATTAATTAATTAAAATTTGGGTAACGTGTCTACTAGAATATAAGAAATTATTGATGTAAAATCGATCAATAAAAATGAAAAATTACCATGTTTTGATTAATCTGATTTGTGAACATTTGTACAAATCAAATTTACTGTCATATAAGCTTCACGATAAACCTACCAAAGGTTTAATTAAATAGTCGATTTTTCCATTCATACAATCATTAGTAAATAGATAACTGAATAAATACCAGACTATGTGAACATCTAAATTGATAATAAGAAGTCGAAGAACAATGGTGCTCCTACCGCATCAAATAAAAAGTCATTATGATTAGGATCAATAACGTCTGATCCTTGAAGAAGACTACGTCCTAAATATAGGGAAATAAAAGCGAACAGGGTGTGAATTTGCATTCGCATGCTACATCGAACTTAAGTAAAAATAACTGCAAGAACTCCACAGTTATACATATTTAATTTACATTATTCATCATGCATTATAGTTTTTTCATATACGAAAGAATTCTCGAAAGAAAAGATTATTCATTATGCTTCCACAAGTGTAAATGATCATTAAAATTCACTTTTTGTTTTTTTTCGTCAATCATGGATCCTTCACTGACAAGATGTTTTCTATTTATTTAGCATTGTATTGCTATGCATAATTGTCTATGTTGTTTTATTTTGAATTCAATCTCAAAATTATACTGGTGCAAATTAAAAGGTTCAAATTGATTAGACGAACAAGCAAGGGTGTGTGGGGGGGGGGGGTGGGGGGTGTGGCTGCGGCTGTGGGTGGGTGTGGGTGTGGGTGTTGGTACATCCTTGATCCACAACTATTGCACCGCGACACCCACACCCACACCCACACCCACACCCATACCCCACACCCCACACCCACACCCACACACCCACCCACACCCACACCCACCCACACCCACACCCAACCCCACACCAACACCCACCACACCCTCGCTGACCGATGGACTCATATTGTTCTGAACAAAACTGATCGACAGTTCAATTATCAAATATGGATTGATGGACAATATGTTTCAAAAGTTCGTCAATATTTATCTTTCAACAAGATGAATCTAACCTTTTCTTGGATTAAATTTGGATTATTTTGTAAGTCTGACATCATTTCATTCGAAGCGTCTAGACAAACTCGTATAGATGATTTCAATGCTTTTACACGATGTTTGATACCTGTCGAAATTCGAGCTATTCATCAACAGCAAACATCCATCAATCAAGTCAAACTTGGTACCTATATCAACAACAACAAAATGTACAACATGAAAATTGACTGCCATTGAAAATCCAACATTTTCTCATATAAATTCATATTCTTCTTGTTTTTTGATATTTATTTGTTATTTTCTCTAATACGATTGCTCAAAAATAAACAAATAGTTGATATAAATCAATTATCTTTGAAGACAAATGACAAGAAATCATAAGGGTTGTGTGGGGTGGGTGTGAGTCTTCTCTTCAGCCAAGTTCACACCCACACTCCAGACCCCACACCCCCTTTAGTTACTCATTCCAAAAGAAAAATCACTAATGAGACGTACACAAATAGGAACAAAAAGTTTATTAATCATTATAAACTGTTTGTTGTTTGACACGAGATAAACGAACAGTTGATAATTTCGTTATTTTATTCGAAAGCAACCAACAGGCTGTCCTATTGTGAAGATACTTAACCCTTTCCAGCCGGCTATCAAAAGACTGCTAGCAAAAAAAAATCTTTCTCAGCGTATTTGTAGTTCTCTCACCTCGGAGCTACTAAAAGTGCAGCCACCTTTAGTATCGAATGACTTGAAGTTGCCATTTGACAACACCCGGCCGTAAGGATATAAAAATTTTGAAGAGGTCAATTTTTTTCTTCTATCAAAGTCTGTTTTTTTTGTCATCACTAAAGTTGAAATCCTCACGAAATATTGGCGCAATGTTGCCAAATGGCAACATCCAGCCGGAAAGGGTTAATGCATGAGTGATAATTTTGATAGTCTTGGAAGAGTTAATGTCGCTGTTGGTCAAACAGTGAATAGTTTTGTATAATTATTATCATTGACCAGATTTTCTATATGCTCTATACTAATTTTATCATTTCCGAATCACAAATTCGCCGTTGTTAACAATAAACGATTTCTCCATTTGGTCATAGTAGATTTCTGAATCGTGAAAAAATAAAAGAAGTTGATTCCTAATGAAAAAAACCATGTCCACTGCCTTAGTACATTAATTTGAAATGCGTATTGCTGTTGATCTAATTTGAAATTAGGTAACGACGAGAAGAAATTGCCCGCAAGATGCATGGCACTCGTATATACATGCATCGCTGTCAGTTAGCTTGACACCACCGTGAAAAAAATTCGAATAATTCTTCAATGGTTCAAACGATTCAAAATTAGGTTTTCATCATTTCATAGGATACTCTTTGAAGTTTTATTTTAAATATGAAATAAAAGTTTAAGTAATAACATGCGATCGAATTATTTCAAAAAATCATGTAAATCACAGACATTATTCCAAAGCTATTAATGTTTTTTCCACGGAGGTTTCTAGAAATACTCTGTATAGAAATTATAAAGGAAAGGAATTTCACGATGAAGTTTGATTTATAAATAAGTGGAATAATCTTTAGAATGTTCTGAGAGTTCCAGCCAAAACAAATGATCCTTTTGTTGGAATATTCGATTTTTGAAAAAAAAATAGGCATAAATTATAATAAGGTCAGAAAAACGAGATATTCCAAAAATTCAATATATCACAAAAGACCCATCCGTTTTCGGACAGGCTAAAGACCATTGGATCTACTTAAGGATAAATCTCCATCCTTATAGCCCTTTCGGTTTATGATAAAATCAGTTCACGTTTTTTCACATCGAACTTTTGGGCCACCTGGTAAATCCGGAAAACGGACATTTCGCACCAACTTTTCATTACGATCTCCCGGTGACGAAATTTGTTACGATCTCTGGACATAAGATAAAACGACAGGGTATTCGGAATTAGATGTACGGGAGTTCGAAATGATAAAAATCAATCAAAAATAAAAAAACAGGGTATTCGGAATGAAAGTTGTCCAGGAGATCGTAAAGAACAGTGACAATCGATTCATATAGATAAAATCCTGAAATTTTGACTGGAGTTCGGGACGAAAATGACTGGAAAATCGTAATAATAAAAACCGGAAGATCGTAATGAAAGTTTAGACCAATAAGTGTAGTGAATGTCTAGAGATCGTAATGAAAACTACGGGGTGTTCGAATTGTGTTCATGTTTGCTCGTCTTTCAGAAATGTTAAGTGCTTCACTAGTTTTTCATTTTGAGATGGTGCACAAAGAATGCCTTGATGAATTCAAGCAGTGAATATTTCTATTATTGCTACACCCACACACTCTTACGAATTCCCGGCCAGTTTCATTACGATCTTCAGGCCTTTTTCTATGGAAAATACTCTTGGAGTGCCATTCCGAACACCCTGTCATTTTCATCCCGATCTCCGGACGCTTCATCACATATAGTAATGAGTATGCCATTTCGAACTCCCGATCACGCCATTCCGATCTCCCTGTTTTTTCAATACGATGTCCCGTTCAAAAATGATTACGAACTCCCGTCAAAACTTTTTTAAAGGAAAAAATCATTTCCGAACACCCGGACACATGCCCGGGTGTTCGGAGTGGCTGGTGCGAAATGTCCGCGACCCGTAAATCCATCAACGTAAAGCATTCATAGCTGTAAATTTGTTATCAACACCATCAGCGGATAATATAAATGGTTTAGGAACATTCGTTGCACTATCTCTTGTTGATATACTTTGAAACAGAAGAGTTTCAAGTGACTTGAAGTAGCTCTACGTAGGATAAGTAGCCTAAAGTAGCTCAAAATACATGGAAAGTACTTGAAAAGTTGTTCTAAATACTTGAAAGTTGCTTATAGTATTAGAAAAGTTGCTCAAAGTAACACAAACGTCTGCTGTTTCTCCCTTATTCTCTTTTTTTAAAATATTTCAACAAAATCAAA